GCACATATATAGTCATATGCACATACACATATATATTTTAGCGTGAAATGACACGCTCACAATATCTCCAAATTGGAATCCGAACCAAAGGATTGTTTTTTGACTTCCTTCCTTCTGTTTTATATGGCTATACTTTTTCATTGAGATTCTGGCTCTCAATGACAACACATTTGCTAAAACCTATATGCCACATGTAAAATGGTCTCAGAATTTCTTTGCCTGTACCATTAAAACAACAAAATACTAAAAAAGGTTCAGGATTTGTTTGCAATTCTCTTCCAATTCAACCCCAACCTGTCAAAGTCTGAACACAAATACTGTGTTCATAAGTTACTTGAATTGGTTTTGTTTTCCTTTAGTATGCATATGGTATTCATTTGAAATACGAATGGATTCATTTGTTTGCAGCTTTAAGTTCATTTTCTCTTATTTTTATTGCTTGTTTTATTTTTGAATGTATAATATTAACATGCACCCCTAAGTAAAAATTATATAAAGTTATTCTCAGATAGGTGTTAGTCCCTCCTATATCTTATCCACTGTGTGTCCACCAACATCGTAGATAACCAGTTTCATCACTGTGTAGTTTATTCTTCCTTTGCTGTCTTTTGTAAAAGATAAATAGATATATAACTGCTCTTGTTTATTAAATACTGCATACTATATACACTCTTTTGAATTTTGTTTTTTACTTGGTAGTATTTTCTGGAAATCACATTACTCGAGAGAGATTAAGGCAGTTTCCAATATTTTCTAATTACAAATAATATTGCAATACTGTGTACATATATTTTAATTCTATTAAAGGTGTATCTTCAGGGTAACTTCCTATACATGAGATTGTCAGGTAAAAGGGCAAGTGATATGTAGATTTGTTAGAACTACCAGTTCTTCACAGGAGTACCATTTTGCATTCCCAATGAAAATACCTGTTTTGAAACACCCTCACCAACAGAGTTCTGTCAAGTTCATTTTTTTTTTTAAATTTTATTTATTTATTTATAGAGACACACAGAGAGAGACACAGGCAGAGGGAGAAGCAGGCTCCATGCAGGGAGCCTGATGTGGGACTTGATCCCGGGTCTCCGGGATCACGCCCTGGGCTGGAGGCGGCGCTAAACCCGCTGAGCCACCAGGGCTGCCCTCTGTCAAGTTTTGAATTTTTGCTAATGTGATGGGTGAGAAATGGTATTGGTATGGTTTTTCTTAAAAAGACCAAAAGAAAAAAAAAACAAAAAAACAACAACAACAACAAAAAAACCAAAAACCAAAAAACACCAAACAGACAAACCTTTGTTGAGGCAGAATTTATCTATAGTAAATTTCAATATAGCAAAATTTACTGATTTTAGGTTACAGTTTAATAACATTATTTAACTCAGGATCACAAAAGTTTTTTTCTAGAATTTAATTATTTTAATGTTTTTATGTTTAGATCTCTAATCCATTCACAGTTTTTGAGTATGACATGAGGTAGGGGCTGAGATTCATTTATTTTTCTCAAATATTCCCTTATTCTACTCTCATGTAGTATAACGAGCATCTTTTCCCCAGTGAATCATCTGTGAACCTTTTGGAATATCAAATGACTCTAAGTGTAGGTCCATTTCCAACAGTGTCAGATTATGTTAGCTCCAGGCTTGAAGCCAGGTAGAGCAGTTTGTCTGATTATATTCACTCTCTAATTTCTTTGGTAATTGCTTATTGTATAACATCCAGATTTTAAAGTTGTTTTCTGTTGGAAGATGTCTTCCTCCAGTGTTTCCTCTATGATTACTAAAAAATGGAAGTATCTCAGTGTAGATTTAATTGGTATTTCTCTTATTTTGAGAAAAATTGTATTTTCATATAATTAAGGGGCATTTTAATAACATTTTTGGGGTGTCCATGTCTTTTGCCAATTTTTCTACATCATTTTTGGCTTCTCAACTGTTAAAACTTCTAACTGGTTATTATTTGTGTCTATGGATGAAATTGAGTTTTGCATATTTATATCTTGCTAGCTTGTGAAGTTTTCATTGAGTTAGTTTTATCATTGACTGTCTACAGTTTTCTGGATTACTATTATGTCATCTGCAAGCAGATGGCTTTTTTTTCCCTAATTCATATGCTCCTAGTTGTTATTCTAGTCTCATTGCATTTTCTTTTTTTGTGTGTTTTTATCAGGTTTAGGCATAAATGTTACACTAGCTTCAAAAAAACAATTTGGAAATTTTCTTTCAATTTTTTATTCTTTAGGACACTTATGTAGTTTTGGGATTGCCAAAGGTTTGTTTAAATTTCTCTGTGAAACATCTGGCCTGGTCCTTTTCTAGATATCTTATCTAGTTTCTTGATAACTTTATTTTTTAATGGAAATTGGTCTGTTAAGCTTTCTATCTCTATTGAGGTCAGTTTTGGTAAACTATATTTTCCTAGGACAAGTTTTTAATAGATGAGTTAATCCCATTCATGTTAATTGAAATAACTATTATGTTTGGTCTCAATTTCATCATATTTTGTTGAAGTTATCGTATACATATATTATATGTGTTTATTTTGTGTGTTCCTTTTGCCTTTTTTTTCCTTTTTGTATTTAGGAGGATTTGTATTTTCATTCTATAGGTTACCTTTGTATTATTATTTTTTTTGTATTATTATTTTTTATAGTGCCTAAAATCTCCTCTATTTTAACCCAATCTTTTTTTTTTTTATTTTAACCCAATTATTTACTATTTGGCATCAGTTTTAAATGATACCTTTACTTAAACAATGAAGCTGTTATATTCTATTTTCCTCTTTTTCTCCCCTCCTTTATCCTCTCATTTTTTAAAAAGAAATTGCATCTTTTAAATTTCTTTTTTTTTTGTCAGACATGTACTGTTAACGTGTTGTTCTTTTACCTGCAAACTCATTCTCATTTTAGTCTCAACTATAAAATAACATCTGTGAAATGCTCACTCTCTGGGAAACTCTGGGCAAAGTTATTCCAGTAATTATTTTGGCTAGATGAAACTCAACCTTTCTTAGATTCCTCAGGAATACTACATGTGTGCAGTATTCCCTGAATATTGGCACATTCCAAATGGTTTTTCCAGGACCTTGATTATCTGAAAGTCAGCTTGGCTGTATACAATTTGGTTTACACTTTCTTTCCTTTAGTTTTTTGAAAATGTTACTCTACTATGGTCTTATTTTGTTGTTTTGAGAGGGCTGATGCTGGTCAAATTCTACTGCCTTTGTAAGTTGTCTGATCTTTTCACTTGGAGGCACTGTGCATTTTCCTCTATATATCTCTAAAATCTAGTAAGTTTACTGGATATGTCCTAGAGTTGATCTTTCTATGGTCAGATTTCTCTAGTATTCAATAATAGATTCAGGTCTTATTTCTGGAAAGTTTTTATAGATTATAGTTCTAAATATTAGTGTTATTCAATTGTTTTACTTCAAGAAATTCTTTTACTTATTTCATTATCATTTTCTTGGCTATGATTTTTTTCCCAAATGCCTTTTAGTTTTTCTGTATATTTTCTTGGATAACTTATAAACTTAGTTTTCATTTCTGATATGCTTTTGTCTTTTTCTTCTATTTCTTTCCTAAGTTTTACCAACTCGCATTTTATTTCTTTTTGCTTTTTAAAAATATCATTTCTATTCTTAGTTTATAAAAATTTCTGATTTAAGGTGTTTTTTCTTAGTGCAAAATGCTTTGGGGATATCTAATTGAATTTGGAGTGTTGTGTTAGTTTTCTTCAGCTTTGTGGTTGAATTGTTTTGGAGAGTTTTCATCAGAAGGAAAGCTTTAATTTATATTTTCTAATTTTTCACATTTTTTTTCTAATAAGGGGGACAGTTTTATTTTTTTTCCTATTCCTTTTTTCCCCCCATAGAAAGCGTTCTTAGTTCAACAGCACCCTCTTCTGTGCAGTTTCTTTCTGGATCATGTTGGTGGTGGTCATGGTGGGGGTAGACGGCAAGGATGGGTATGTGTTGTTTCTCTTTCATTCCTGCAAGATCTTTAATTTTCCCCTCTTATTTCCTTATTGCCTCATCTCCAAGGGATACCACTCTGTTTCTGTTCATTTGGTTATTCTCCAGAAACAATAATTTTCCAAGGCTGCCACTTCTGGTTGCACTTTCTCAAGTCCTGAGAACCACCCAATACTGATCTGTGTTTAGATTATGGCACTCACTGTGGGATTTTCTTTCTAGAGGGGATTGTGTTTGTACTTCATCTAATTGTTTTATTTTTTCTTGTTCTTTTACAGAGTCATTGAAGGCTCTGTTCTTTGTATCCCAAAGTTTCAGTGGCAGGAAGGCTGCAGGACTTTGTTGGAAAATTTTTTACTCTATTTATATGTACTTTAAAGGATGTGGTATTTTATGTCACACTCATATTGAAGGTATGAATCCTTTATGATTTTATTTGCTTTCTTTGTTGACTTTATGTTTTCTGTGGAGATAATGTTCAGGAAATTCAAAATCAGGTGATTACCACTGATCTCTACCTATGTTCTTTAATCTTTCTATGCTTATCAATATTTTGTTTATTTGTATATCTATCTTATGATAGTACCATTGCATTTGTTTTGTTGCAAGCTACCTAAAATTCTGTAAAGAATGATGCAGAGTAAAAATAAATGTTTACTTTTTTAGTATTAAAAAATAAAAGTAAAAAATGCTTTGCCTTGGAGGGCTTCTCTTGTTTTGTATTTTAATAAAATGTACGTGAAACAGAAGAAAAGAAAAAGGAAAAATAAAAGAAAAAATAGAAAAGCAATGTGACTGATTATTTACTTCAGATAACCACGGTTATCTGGTTTTGGAGGCAATTTCTTTGAGCAATAGTAGCAAGACTTCAGTGTAGGTACAGCCTCTGAAAGTGCTTTTAAGACTTATGCTACTTTATACTATATTATTCACATCTGTAAGGTCCAGGATATTATACAACATCACTGCTGCATACCTCATATGTTTACCCACATTAACACAAAGCACATATATACAATACATGCACTTACTTGTTTCACATTCTGGAGTTCTTCTGTCAATTGTTTCTTTTGCCTTTCTGATTCAAATAACTTTTCCTATATTTAAAAACCAAAGAGTTAAAAACAAATTATGAAGTACCAATGAGTATCATTTTTAGGGCTTTATTTAAATATTTATAAATTCTCCAAACATCCAATTGCGACAATCTGAAAACGTAGCTCTCAGTCACTTTTCTGGCCTTACACATGCCATTTAAAAGTAATTAGTCATTTACAGCACAATTGTGATATAAATGCATTTTCTGTTACTTTAATTAGCCATTCTGTACAATCTCAAAATTTGAGCTCCAAAATAATTTAATCAGGATGAAAATGTGTAAATAATACATTTTGGGCAATAGCAATTATTACCAAAAAGCTTTCAAATTGAAGAGCATTTTTATTACAGTTTAGATGTAAAGGTCTATTGCCACACTAAAAAGGACATATGAAACTAGATAGACTATTGTTTTTCTGATTTACTTTGTGCTTGGAAGATTATCCATACAAATGAAGATAGGACTAGTGTAACCAAAATGTGAATAGTTACAAAGATAGAATAAATGGCAATATGCATGCAAATTAAATATTACCTTCAAACTTAAAATTAACTTAAGCATATACCCTAAAACATTCAACTTTTTGAAAACATAACATAAATAAATCCATATTTTATTGATCAAATCAGAAATACTAAAAGAAATTTAAGGACCATTTTACTATCAACTTGAACAGAGGAACTGCTTGAAGATTAAACTGAGTGGTAAATATTCATGGCAATACCACAATGTTTATAAGAAGCATTCTGTTTCCTGGTATATTTCAGCTCATTCTTCTCTAAGATATGAAATGAAGGTATATGAAGACGAATATAATACAGCAATCTAATGAATCTGCCACAGACTAGGAGCCAAGAAACTGCTGGGTCTCATGCTTTTATGCTCTATAGCAAGTCACCTTCACTCTGTGTCCTAGTTTTTTGCATCTGTAAATGGAAAATACATCTATTTTCATTCAGCTTTGCAAAGCAGTAGCAATCTGAACTTTGCAGAAAGGCTTTAAGTTAAATAAAGCCCACAGTACTTTTAAAAAATCACTCTTGTCAAATAAAAATTAGCCACTGGCATCATGATCTTGGTTTCATTTTTATTTGTGCCTCAAATTATACATGAAGAATAGAGTTGTTGCAAGTGATGAGAGAACACCTACACACTCTATGAACTTCATTTAACAACCTCTATTATCTGTGTGTGTACAAGGCAGGTAGAAAACTGAAGGTACACATGTTACCTTGAAGAAGTATTTATAGCTGTATATACTCTTTTACATGGCAAAGCAAGTGGTTCTCAGTCAACAGATAGGTTTTTGGGTAAAGGAAATTATAAAATACAGAATATGCTATATCTGGGATTTCAGGTGCTGTCAGATTAGGATATGTTTAGTTACAGGTCATAGACTTTAAATGTGAACCCTGATTTTTTGAAGAGCTCCTACGGGAAGTCCTGTTTAAATGTTACATAAATGCAATTTTAAGTTAAAATTCTAATAATTCATACTGGCATTTAAATAAAAACTGAAATATATCAGTAAATTTAACAATGACAAACATTAAGGAAATGAAAAGATCTGAGAGCCTCTGAAAGGTTTTGTTTTTGTTTTGAAAGAGAGAGAGAGAATCTTAAGCAGGCTTTACACCTAGCACATACTCCAACACAGACTGAATATTACAACCCTGAGATCATGACCTGAGCCAAAATCAAGAGTCCAGTGTTTAACTGACTGAGCCACCCAGGCACCTATGAAAGTTCTGATGAACCATAAAATTTAATGGCTTATGCAGAGATGAATTATACATAATGCCATCTTATTAAGACAGCCATCATTGGAGATATTTTCAAAGAGAATATGAGGAAATTACTGTCAATTTATTCTTAAAACTAAATTTATATTTTTCCATCTTTACTCTTAACTGTTATACCAAAAAATATAGAAGTGGTTTCAAGTTGTAAAAAAGTCTGTAAAATATTCCTTTAATAATGGAATGCTTGTACACACTTGGAAAGACCATAAATTGGTAAAGTCTTTTTCATAATATATAAAGTTTAATATGTCCATATCCTTCCATAAAACAATTCCACTTTCAGCAATGTATTCAGTTTGTATTTTTCCAATTGTAGAAATTACCCAAGACACATCTACAAAGCTATTTATGATGGACTTATTTTTAGTAGTGGAAAACTGGAAGTAGCCTAAATATTCATCAGTAAGGAACAGGCTAGGGGTGCCTGGGTGGCTCAATCAGTTAAGTGTTTGCCTTTGGATCAGGTCATAATCCCAGGGTCCTGGGATTGAGCTCTACTTCTGGCTTCCTGCTCAGTGAGGAGTCTGCTTGTCCCTCTCCTTCTGCCTCTCCCCACTGCTTGTGTGCTCTCTTTCTCTCTCTCTCAAATAAATAAATAAAATCTTATAAAAAAGAAAAAACAAGGAGCTGTCTAAATAACCTAGGACAGAACCACTGGATGATAGGAGAACCATTAAGAAGAATTTGGCAGATCTGTACATATTAACTTGAAAAGCAGCCCAAGATATAAAGCTAGCAAAGAGAAAAAAGAAAAAGAAGTTGTAAAAAAGTGTGCAGTATGAAGAGATTTACATAAAAGTTAAAATACACACATACATTTATTTTTAGAAAATTAATTGAGAAAAATAATAGAGAACAAGTGTCTCAAAGGATAAAGTGTGTTTAACAATGGCTTCCTCTTGGGATCCCTGGGTGGCGCAGCGGTTTGGCGCTTGCCTTTGGCCCAGGGCGCGATCCTGGAGACCCGGGATCGAATCCCACGTCAGGCTCCCGGTGCATGGAGCCTGCTTCTCCCTCTGCCTATGTCTCTGCCTCTCTCTCTCTCACTGTGTGACCATCATAAATAAATAAAAATTTAAAAAAAAAAAAAAAAAAAAAAACCAATGGCTTCCTCTTAAAGTTGGAATTTAAAAAGGCAGAAAGGAAATTTCTTCCTTTTTTAGGGAGTTGCAAAGAGTTTGCATTAAAGGGTACCCAGGGGGCTCAGTCAGTTAAGCATCTGCCTTTGGCTCAGGTCATGATCCCAGGGTTATGGAATTGAGCCCTACTTCTGCCTCTGTCCCTCCCATCCGCTCATGTTCTCTCTCTCATATAAATAAATAAAATCTAAAAAAAAAATAAAAATGAACATTAAGTAAATAAACATTACTTATTTCAGAAAATAACTTAAAATAATTGAAAAAATATATTCCTATAGTGAATTAAGAGTATATCAAGTAGTTATCTGCTTTTCTTGAAGATCTGGAAAATATAATGTGTTTCTGTGAAAATTAGGGTATAATTTGAATTTAATATTCTATTAAATATAGAATGGAAATATATAAAAAGAATCAAAATCTTTTAAGATTTTATTTATTTATTTATGAGGCGGGGGGCAGAAACACAGGCAGAGGGAGAAGCAGGCTCCATGTAAGGAGCCAGACGTGGGACTCAATCCCGGGTCTCCAGGATCACGCCCTGGGATGAAGGCGGCACTAAACCGCTGAGCCACACAGGCTGCCCAAGAATTAAAATCTTAAAGTATATTTGGGCATGCTGCGTGTCTTTTTTCTCTTAATCATATTACCATAATTCTAAATTATGTTACCAAAATGAGAGGTCTCTGAAGCATGTTCATGAACATGGGAGAAAATGTATTTCCCAGTGAACATTTAAGAATCCAAAATTGTCATGGCTTGCTTTGTTGACTCATCTAATCATCCTTGCCACCAATATGAGAACAGAGGAGGTGAGAAATAGTCAGATTGGCAGGTATGAACAAAACGCGCTGTCTACACTGAATCTTACATGGGTATTAAGAAATATAAATAATAAGTTTGTAAAGTAAAAAAATGACCTCTTTAAAGGCCTATTAAATAAATGAATTATCAAATATTTGACATTAATATGAACACAAATAATATCAAATATTTGATAACTTATAATAAATATACTAATATTCTTCTGCTTTTTTCTCAACAAAATGTAAAGGAGGCAAAACTGGAGATTACCTTGAGTGCATTCACTTCCTCCAAGGCGTCATTTCTTTCACGCTTAAGCCTTTCTATTTCATCTGTCTCTGAGGAATCACAGGGAAGAAGCTATCAACATTAAAATATAAGAAAAATGTTATGAATTAGATGCTAATGTTGACAACTAGCACAGAAATCCTTTTTGACGAGTGTTAAGTTTTTGCATTTTAATAACAAAATTTAGTTTCTTACTTTGGAGTCATCTGATTAGATGAAAGAGAATGTTAAAGATTCTGGAGTAACTTGATTTGAGCTTAACTTTGCATTGTTATTTATAATAGAATCTAGGTGATTATAAAGTATACATACCTGTTATCATCTTTATGATTACTTTAACAATATAATTTCCCTTAAAAGTCCACAAATTCTAAAATTGTATCTATAATGTCAAAAAGACTTTTGAGTCATCAACATAAACTATTCCCTAAAGATCCACCCCAAGTACATGGTATCTGAGGCTAACAAAATGCTGGACATTATCAACCAAGAAAGTTTATGAACCCAGTAAACCCAGTGAACCCAGTAAAGTTCATTACTCGATTATACACCTTGTTTTAATGAAATGCAATGCAATGTTAACAGGCAGCCAGCTTAAAAAAATTCCTGCATAGGAACTATGGACTGAAGGTAATATTAATAATTCATGTACAAGTGAATAACCACCACCACAAAATAGCAGAGACGGCAATTCCCCTTTTACTGCTAGCACGATCTCTTTGACAGTTAATAAGGTAGAAAACAATCACAATCTAATCAGAGATAAAAATCCAAGTCTAATTACAGCCATCTTGCATGTATAAATTGTAACAAAACTAAAAAAAAAAAGAGTATAGAAAATATAATTTAAAGGACTATATGGAGAAAATGATTGCTTTGTAAGTATGGGCTTAAGGCAGTCTTTCAGATAGGAGAGGTGAGGAATGCTTGGGTGGCTCAGCGGTTAAACATCTGTTTTTGGCTCAGGGCGTAATCCTGATATCCTTAAATGGGGCAGACCATCCTCAAGTTTGCCCCTTTCTCCCTTTATAAACTCTCCCTGAGTGATCATGTTCGCTGCCACGCTCTTACTATATATCACCCTCCAAATCATTCCCAGATCTCCCTTTGAGTCCAGTTACTTATTTCCAATGGCCTCTTGGTTATTTACACCTCTAAGCATATTGAACTTACTCTCTAAAATCCAACCTATCCTCTTCTCCACATTTCTTATTTCTCTAGTTCTATTAATAGCACCACCCTATTATTAATCTTATCCTGATCAAAACTCTGCAATTATCTTTAACTTATTCTCCCTTGATTCTTACACCCAAATGCAATTCTTAATGGTGATATACTGTGGCTGTTGGTAAATATATATCTGTCTCCCCATTCCTTCCCGTTATCCTCACCTTCACCATAGTTTAGTTTTTAATATTCTATATTCAGACTCTTTGTCCATCATCTAAGCTACTTATGATCAGTTTCATTACCTTATAAGATAACCAAGACTATTATAAGACTACTATTTCTAAACTATTATTTTGATCATGTCAACACTATTCTCCCTAATGGCTCCTCACTAACTACTTGCAAAGTACAAATTTCTAAGTGTAATATTACCCTTTAGCCCTAACTTCCTTCAGTCATCTGCATGTACTGACTTATCTTTTTTTTTCTTCAAAGATTTATTTATTTATTCATGAGAGACACACACAGAGAGAGAGGCAGAGACATAGGCAGAGGGAGAAGCAGGCTTCATGCAGGGAGCCTGATGCAGAACTCGATCCCAGAACTCTGGGATCCCGCCCTGAGCCAAAGGCAGACGCTCAACCGCTGAGCCACCCAGGTATCTCCCAACTTACCTTTTTAAAAAACTAGATTACTCTGCTTTCCATCAAATTACATATTTTTATTCATGCTAATTCTCATTACTTTCTGTTTACCTCTTAGGCAGGTAAAATCCTATATATAATTTAAAACTCACTCAAATGCTAACTCTGTTATGAATCTTCTCTAAATGTTCTGAGCTCTATCAGTACTATAGCTTTATCACACAATGCTACAGCTTTTTAAACTATAATTATTTGTGCACATGACTTTCCTTACACTATATCTTAAATTCCAAGAAATTAAACTCAGGCTTGAGTTTTATTTATTTTAATAATGTTCTAGAGCAGCTACCCAATGCCATGCACACTGTAGTTGTTCAATGTATATATTTAATGTTTTATAGATGAGTACATAATGCTACACATAATGAGAAATACCTTTTATATAATGATTCCAGTATAAATGAAACATTACTCATTTATATACAATTCACTAGTATTTTCCCTTCTATTCTCCTCCCTTCTAAAATAGGGGTTGCGATCCACTAAAATGATTTAAAAGAAACTAAGTAAAAAAAAAAAAAAAAAAGGAAAGAAAAAAAAAAGAAAGAAACTAAGTTGTGAAAAGTCTACTTTAGGGAATTTACAGTGTTCTCTCTGTGATTTTAAGATAATCCCTGTATGATATTTAATTAGTATGGTAAACCCATAATGTTATAATAGACTGTAGTCTGCTGTTACTAAGTTCAGAATTCTGCTAAAACTAGGCTCCAACCTTACTTTTGTGTGTAACCTTGCACCAGCCGCAGGTGTACAGTTCAGTTCAGTACAGAATTTTTAAATATAGCAATGATGACTCTAATCACAGTAAGATAATTATATTTTTAGTTCTAAATGCCATATTATTTCAAAATAATAAGGTTTTTTTTATCAACTAAACAAAAAATTGACTTAGACTGACTCAGCAATTCTTCCTTCTTGAAATATGGCATCTCAATAAATCTTATGAGTCAGATGAAAAGATGAGCAAAAGAAGCTCATTATAATAGAGTATATATTGTGTGATTCTATTGAATTTGAGGTTCAAAAACAGGCAAAAGTTATCTATGCTAATATAAGTCAAAATAGTGGTTCCATTGTAAAGATGGGAATGGCGGCTAACTGGGTCAAAGTTGGTACAATGGAGCCTTTGAGTGGTGATTACACATGAGATACTAATAGAAATTCATCAAGTTGCACATTTGAGATTTTTATACTTTACAGGGTATCCATTATGCTTCAGCAAAAATATTCTTAAAAAATAAATTAAGGAGAAGACAAGCCAGAAGAAGGAAACACAAGTAAAAAAACAACCATCCCTAACAGATGGATTATAAAATCTGACTGTTGTTTGTGACGAGATGGTTGAGGGGATAACCACAGTGGAATTTCCCCACTTTCACAGACTGTCAGCATCCTCAACCACAGATCAATTGATACTTCAGATGAAGCACCATAGTGACAACAAAAAACTTAGGAATACTACTACAAAATAATAAAATATTTTTCATTTGTTTTTGATGAACTTGACAAGCAGTGATTTTTTATAGTATTTTTGAAACTGTGGTATATGACCACAGTGTATTTTAAGCCCAAATAGTTAAAGAAATAGAACTGAATATTAAATAAGAATTAAATACTATAGAAAACGTAAGTACTATTTTGAGATTTTTGTTTCGGTTATATATGTGAGTGTGGTGAAGTAAAAGGTATTATTATGGATTCAAGTGAAAAAAAAGTCAGCATTTTATGGGGATATCTTCTACATGTTGACAAGCAGAACACAACAAAGGAAGCCTTATAAACTGATATAATGACAACTGCACAACATTTTGATCTGAAGCCATGGACAGGAAATTATTGGCATGCAGAAGACCTTGCACAATTACCAGTGGCACTTTGCGTTTTTCATCAAAGTATTAAGACTGAACACACTTTTATCTGCCCTAAAATCATACTGGCTAGAAAGGAAGTAAATTACTAATTTGGAGCACCAGTATTTTCTGCAGCTGTTAAGCAAGCTTTGCGTGCTCACCCAAAGTACTCTGAATTCCCCATTTCTCTTAAGTTGCACGTCACTCAACCACTGTTGCCTTTCCTCATCAAAAGTGAGGCACGGAGGGGGACACTTGACGGGATGAGCACTGGGTGTTATTCTGTATGTTGGTAAATTGAACACCAATAAAAATTAATTTATTAAAAAAAAAAAAAGGTGAGGATAGTGGCTTTGAGAACTGTTTGGCAATAACAATGCTCTGTTGTCAACATTGTTTCCACCAGAAACAATGGAAAAAAAACAGTGCTCTTACAGCTTCAGTTTTCCTACCTTAAATGTTACTGAATTGGTTCTGATAAATCAGTACCTCAATTTTAGGAGACTGGGTGATCTCTTGAAAGTTTCCAAACAACTAGATCATAGGAACTCTCATTCTCAATAATAGAGACTGATTTATTGCTATTGTGACTACAAAATGGCATAGCCACTTTGGAAGACAGTTTGATGGTTTCTTTATAAAACTAAATACCTTCTTACCATATGATCCAGCAATTGTGCTCCTTGGTATTTACCCAAAGGAGTAAAAAACTTATGTTCACACAAAAACCTGCAAATGGATGTTTACAGTAGCTTTATTCACAATTGCCAAAACTTGGAAGCAGCCAAAAAGTCCTTCAATAGATAAGTGGATAAACTGTGGTATATTCAGATAATGGAATTTTAATCAGCACTGAAAATACATGGAAAGATATGGAGGAACCTTAAATGCATATTACTAAGTGAGAGAAGCCAATCGGAAAAGACTACATATTCTATGACTTCCAACTATATGACATTATAGAAAGAGCAAAAAAACTATGAATACAGTAAGAGGATCAGTGAATGCCAGGGGTGAGGGGTGCAGATGTGGGAAGATGAACAGGCAAAGCACACAGGTAAAGATCAGAACAGTATAAAATACTATGTATGATACAACAATGACGGATACATGTCGTGATACATTTGTCCAAACTCACACAGAATGTACAGCACCCAGAGTGCAATGTAAATGTAATGGAAACTATGAACGACAGGTGACAATGATGTGTCAGTGTAGGTTCATCAGTTGTAATGAGTGTACCACACTCTGGTGCAGGATGCTGATAATGCGGGAGGTCATGCATGTGCTGGGGCAGGGAGCATGTGGGAAATCTCTGTACCTTCCCCTCAATTTTACTGTGAACCTAAAACTGCTCTAAAAAATGAAGTCTTAAAAACAAAACAAAAAAAATACACCATTTATTATAAGGGCAAAAAAATAAAAGGTAACTAGGAATAAATCTAACAAAAGACTAATAAAGTTTATATTGGGAAAAATATATCAAGTGTATTATTTGCTATTCAAGAAGATAAAATAAGAAGTCAAAACATGTTCACAGAGAAGACTGAAATTTATATAGATCCTGATTGTTCCCAAAATAATCTAGAAATTCAGTACAGTAAGATTTTTGCTAGAACTTATTTGGACGAGAAAAGGGATTAGCCAAAGCAACGTTTAAAAAGAACAAAAAGTGGAAGAATGTGTTATCAGATACCAATACTTATGAAGCAAAGTAAACCAGTAACGAAGAATCCAAAAATGCCCATGCAAATATGGAAATCTTATAAATGACACAGCTGGATTGTAAATAATCCATCCACTGAAATAATGAATTTATATTTTAAAAATTACCTTTATAAAAATAACTGATCAAAATTTATGTATTTATATTTTTGTATGCCAATAAGTGGACTTGTGTACCAATAAGAATACTCAATTCAAAAGAAAATTTTAATGTCAGATTTTATGAATACAGTGAATTAAAACAAATACATTTTAATTATCTATGTATTTTGTAACAGAGTGATAGGGTGCTCAATGACTGATTTCTTTTTCCAATGACTAATTTTAAGTATATCTATTCTTGAAATTATAATTTATTAAGGTAACATTCTAGGGTAATATGGGATACAAATAAAAGCAGAAAAAAAGGAAAGATGGTAACTTTCTGAGAATAAGAATTCATGAATGAATTTTCTTTAACATAAAATGATTATGAGTATCAAAAACTATGGAATTTAGATTCTATTAGATACATTTAAAGGGTTATATAGCAGTTTTCTTTACAAAAGAGAAATACATGTAGTCATTGGAAACCTAATCAAAACACTAACCAAAAGAAAAGTGGTATTGCTTCATCATTAGATTGAGTTGACTTTAAGACAGGAAGCATTCTAGAGATAAAGAGATTCAATATCCTGTCAGGATATAACAATTCTAGGGGCAGCTGGGTGGCTCAGTGGTTGAGTATCTGCCTTTAGCTCAGGTCATGATCCCAGAGTTCTGGGATCAAGTACCACATCAGGCTCCCTGTGGGGAGCCTGCTTCTCCCTCTTCCTATGTCTCTCTGCCTCTCTATATATATCTCTCATGAATAAATAAATAAAAATCTTTTAAAAAAAGGATATAACAATTCTAAAATTACATATGTCTAATACAGCTTATGATATCAAAGGCAGTATTATGAGTGAAGAACACTAGAAATCAGCAACCAGAAAGGAGCTATATAACTAGAAACTGTGCAAAATAAGGGTCAAAGAAGCAATGACAATGGAAATGTTACATACTGAATGATAATTAAAATATAGATATAGAAACTTGTGGATGTGATTTTGTAAAAATTGTGTAGGACCATCTATGAGATAAAAAGTAGTATTGTTAAACTGTATTAAAAACCTAAAAAAATTGTTTTTTTTTTAAAATAAATTTTAGTATATCGAAAAAAGGGAAAATTTTCTAGGAAGATGTCCATTAACAGAATTATTCAAGAAAAAGACTAAAACTTGAATAAAATAACCTTAGAAGACATTAAAAAAATAGAAAATATCTCCTCTTCCAAAAAGACCTAGGCCCAGACCATCTGATATGAAGCATTTTCAAACCTTAAAGGAACCTATACAGTTTCTACTATATAAGCTATTGAAGAAAAATATAAATGGCATAAGTTTTATTCATAAATTTAAAAATTTTTAAATAATTTGTAAATAAGTAAATATAAAAAGATTATAAATCATATTTATTAAATAAGATAATGCTAGCTTCTTTTAAAAATTAAAAATGTAAAATGGCTCCAATATCATGAAAAAATTTTTTGTTCACTTTTGCAGCTTCTGTTCCAATGGTAATTCAGAAAAAATTAAAATTTTTTGGAAGAGACAAAAATATAATTAATTTAAAATGCCTACCTAGAAAACAGAAAACCCAAGACAACTGAAAAGCAGCTAGAATAAGAGAGTTCAATGAACTGGCATCACACAAAATAACCATTCAAAAATTAATATCTTCAGGTGCCTGGCTGGCTCAGTTGCTGGAGCATGCAACTCTTGATCTCAGAGTTCTAAATTCCAGCCCTATGTTGAGTATAGAGATTACTTAAAAATAAAATCTTAAAAAAAAATAATATCTGGGATCCCTGGGTGGCGCAGCGGTTTGGCGCCTGCCTTTGGCCCAGGGCACGATCCTGGAGACTCGGGATTGAATCCCACGTCGGGCTCCCGGTGCATGGGGCCTGCTTCTCCCTCTGCCTGTGTCTCTGCCTCTCTCTCTCTGTGTGTGTGTGTGTCTATCATAAATTTAAAAAAAAATTAATATCTTTAGTAGTCATCAATTAGAAAATACAATGGTTAAAAAAAAATCCCATTTCCAACAGCAACAAAAACTGCAGTATGCCTATTCAGACATAACAAGAAATATTCAAGACATATATGAAGCAAGATATAATTTCCTCTTTCTGAAATATCAACCAACACCAAAATGAATGGAGAAATAAACCATGTTCATCCTTCTCAAACCACTCTCTAAATTCAATGCAATTCCAATTTTTAAAAGTTCCAACTGAATTTTTATTACCACAGCAAAAATGATTCTAAAGATCATCTAGAAGATCAAAAATCAGTAAGTTAAAAAGAAAAAAAATGAAGGACTTAGCTTACCACATAATAATGAACCTAGAAATACACTGTTGGAATAATTAAAATAGTAATGTACTGGCATAGAGAAATCAATCAATGGAACAGTGTGGTGGGTCCAGAAACAGATCTATGTATCTAAACAGAAATTTAGCATAGGATAAAGTTTGTATTTCAAGTTAGCAGCAAAAGTGGAGAAGGACAGTTATTAAGGAAATGATGGTGGAACAAGGTCAAGGGGTTACCCATTTGGGGCCCTAACTTAAGCATAGACAAGAATAGATTTTGAAAAAAAAAAGAAAAAAAAAAGAATAGATTTTGAGTGAGTTAAATTGATAAATTGGGAAGACCTTCCTGAAGGATACAGTAACACATTCTGCAATGAAAAGGACTGAAAAATTTGACAATGTAAATGCCACAAATGTCAAAGTTCTTTTTTTTTTTTTTTAAGGTTTATTTATTTATTTGAGAGGGAGAGAAGACAGAAGGAGGGGTGGGGGGAGAGAGAGAGAATCCTCAAGCTGACTCCCCACTAAGCGTGGAGCCCAACATGGAGCTCAACCACAGGAACCTGAGGTCATGACCTGAGCCAAAATCAAGAGTTGGCAGCTTAACTGATGAAGCCACCCAGGCACCCCCAAATGTCGAAGTTCTCTAGAGCAAATGACTTATGAAGTTAATGGGCTTCACAATTGTATTTTACATAAAGCACAAAAAAAGCAAAAGACTAGTTACTTGATTAAGGATGCAGGGGGAAAAACGGGAGTAATAGAAAAGGAACATGGGGGGTGGGAGAGCATCTGGGTCCTCATAATATATTTTCCTTCCTGTTCTGTTTCTTTCTTTTTTTTTTTTCTTTTTAAGATTTTATTTTTTTATTTTTGAGAGTGAGAGAGCAAGTGAGCAGGGGGAGGAGCAGAGTGGGAAGGAGAAAGCACCAGGGGGAAAGGATCTCAAGCAGACTCTTCACTGAGAATCTGATGCAGGACTCAATTTCACAACCTTAAGATCATGGCCTGAGCCAAAACCAACAGTTGGATGCTGAACTGACTGAGCCACCCAGGTGCCCCCTCCTTCATATTGTGTTTCTTAATCTAGATGCTGACACATGAGGATGGTTTAGATTGCAAAATTTCAGAGGGTATACACTTATGATATGAGCACTTTTCTGTGATAAATTTAGGGAGGACTAGCATAAAGAAATAGAGAGGAGGGACAGGAGAGATCAAGATAAAGTTTTACTTTTGATTTTAAATAAATCTGTGTTTTATATATTTACTAAGAAGCATACATTATTTGCATATTTTTTAAAAGTGAAAAATGAAAAAGAAAAAGGCCACATATGTGACATACAGCAGTCAAGACTTATGATCCAAGAACAATAAAGACAATTCTATAGGGCACACTCTACCTGTGAATCTAACATGCTGGAAATTTCACGTGCACTGACATTTACTTCGTCCAACTGCAAGCAAAACAAGTTTCTGGCAACCTGGACAAAATCTGAAATGGAATACACTTCAGTAGGAGCATAGCATTTAATCTCATCTAAATACATCTTACCCTTTTCTAAATGAAGTTGAAGTTATGCATTATAACTAAGGCTTCAAACTTAACTTACTTTTCAGTGGATTACCTTAAAGTAGTATTAGCTCAAGTGACAGATTAATTACAAACTCAAAAAGTGACAGATAAACTGGTTTTAACTTACCTTTGTAAACTTTGCTGAAGTTATAGATCAGTTAAGACAACAAGAAAGCATATACCTATCACAGGCATATCTATTTCTGCAACTCTTTTACTGTGAGCAAGAACTTTCTCTGAAACATAGGACAATATTGTGACTTACAGCTTTTCTAGTTAGAGCGGGAGGTTTAATAACAACAATAGTAGCAGCTAATATTTTATGTAACAGCCTGTGTGCTAGGCACAGTACTTTGCAATTTCATTCTCTAAACAATTTTCTGAGGTAGGTACTCCTATCCTCTCCCTTCTACATTGCAGCTAAGACAAGTTAACTGCCAAACTTCCCGTGGCCACATGGCAAGTAAGTAGCAGAGCAGAATTCCAAATTAAGATCTGACTCTAGGGCATATACTCTTAACACCTGTTCAGATTGCCCCATGCTGGCTAGCAAACTGTAAGCTTCTTCAGACATGTGGGGGACCCATTCATCTATGTATCTTCAAATGTTTTAATTTTAGCTATTGTATTTTTAACTTCCAAATATCCTGTTTGTACTCTCTGATGGTTTCTATTCTACAATATCCTACACTTTATTTCCTGGATGCTTTCTCTTTGTTTACCTTTTCAAAGATGTTCATTGTGTCTGAAGCTCTCTCCTGCTCTTGCATTATTCCTCCTTTTTTCAGGGTTCTTGTTTTTCTCTTTGTCACATAGTTTTGGGCTCTTATATTTTATGTTGGAGAATTTCTCCAAATGTCCAATGACCCTTGGCTATGAGTTCATGTTTAAGAAGAATCATCACAATAACTCTGATTGGAAATTTTGTGTACAAAGCTTGACTTGTCATCTGGCCAGTTTCACTACAGAGCAATCAGGTGGCCAAATAACATTTTGGGGCAGCTTCTTTAGTAGAGAATCTTACAATCTATTGCCTGTAGAGTATAAACACGACTGCAAAGTTCACCAAGTAATCTGGGTGTGGTTGTGAGTGATAACTCATCATACACTCCTCTAAATTCCCTGACTGCTGGCAACTACAAGTTCAGGATCTCTCTGGTTTAATTCCTCAAGAGAATATACTTCTTTTCCTTTGCAGGTATAAGGGACTGTTTGATCCTGGGCTGCTTGAGAGGGGGCAAGTAATAGCATACATAAAAGCTTCTATACAGATTTCTAACAACCCTATTTGAAATGCCCTGCCTACACCTAGCCTTCAGAAGTACCTGATATTTTTAATTCCTAAGCCATTTCAGGGACAGATCAGCTTGTTTCCCATTGTGGTTCTTCTATTGCTTTAGACATTTGGGCTTTATTGCTTCTACTCACTAATTCACTTACTTTCCTCATCCACATACTATCCTTACATATCATAGTTTTGGTTAATACATGCAATTCTGTTAATTTGGTTAATACATGCAATTCTGTTTTCTGTTCCCCTCCCTATTTGGGGGTGATTTTCAAAAGGAGAGGAAAGCAAATGTATATTTTTTCCATTACCTTGAAACCAAAAAGTGAATTCTTTTTTAGCAATACGGATACTTTACAATGATACAAATTTGCATCTATTGAATAACAAAAAAAATTAAATACTGAATGCTGTCAAGGATATAAAATACTGTTACATTCAAACATTACTAGTGGTAGAACAAATACATGTGTGAAATGTCTCTTGAAAAGAACTTATTAATATCTATCAAAAGTTTAAACCACTTGTAGAAGTTTATCCTAAGAAAGAGAAGGGGAAAAAAAAAACCTATGATATTAAATATAGGCATTTATAATATCAGCTATTGAGAAACCACCAAAATTCCCCAAAAGTAGAAAGGCTTAATATTATAGTACATCGACTAAGTATGTCAATATTATGTTAAATTTAATAAGAATAATTATACAGCATCATAAAAATACTTATTCTGTTATATTAGCTGAAAAAAAAGTATGAAATTCCACAGCAGTGGAATTAGAACTTCTATACTTTGTATTGTTTTTATTATTACCACAGAAATGTTCATGCGATAAATAACAAACAAAAAAGGAGGATAGAATGATGATATTTTAGAGCTGGAAGATTCTAGGGTCTCCTTTCTGCTGACCCAGCCAGGCCAGTAATTCTAGACAACATTTTTAGGTACTGACTAAGGAACTTGAAATAGATGTGGTCTTATTTTTCTCTCTCCTTCTAAAGAAGATGCATTCCTAATGAAAATAGGTCACCATAACTCTCCTACCAAGTTTCTGTGATGACATAACACGATAAACCTAATATTACCTCCAAAAGACACTGTCCCCTTTGGGTCTATTTGCACTTGCTGTCTCAGGGCTTGCTGTTGTTCCTTTGTGGGCTGAATTCCAAGATAATCTAGAGCCTGGAAGGAAAAGGACTCAGGTGAAGTAATTTTTCAAATCTCCAAAGAATAAAACTTCATTACAACTTTATTTTACAACGCAGTGAGAAGAATCAGTATTGGGAACAGGAACCAGAATAACATGCCCAGAGAAAGTCTGTTGACTATTTATGGATTAATTTTCTATGAAATACAGTTTCCTGATTTCACCACCACTTCAGTATTTTGGTGTGTTTTTTGTTTTTGTTTTTGTTTTGTTTTGCAAGACTAGCACTTTGGCTAATGCCAAATTAACAAGCATAGCCCTAGAACCAAAACTCAATTTCTTAGTTGCAAATATGTGATATGGGAGAAGAAAAAATTATCAAGGAAATTCTATTAAATCAGATTAAGCATTAATTTCTAAAAGTAGCACTACAAAACTTTGATATTTTGTTAATAAACGAGATCAAAACTAAAGTTGATAGGAATTGGGTTAAATACAAAATATTCTAATTTTAGCTTATTTAGAGGCAAGCTTACAGACAGTAAAATAGAAAGCTTTCTCTGGAATCCACCTCTATCTTCCCTTGTTTTTCTTTTCTTTACCTTCTTTTAGTACCCATAGCAGATTAAAAATTCAGAGACTGTTGTATTCCAGTGTTCATTCTCTTTTTGTTCTTTAGTAACAGAACAACAGTTTTAGTTAGAAATCCTGCCATCTGGCTAAAAGATGTTTCTCAGTCCACTTTGAGGCTTGAAACATGAGAGTATGTACTGGTCAAGGAAATGAAAGGTGAAGTATTGTGGGGTTCTTCTGGGAAGGCTTTCAAAAGTATATGTAAAGTATTCATGTCCCTTCTCTTTCACTCTCTGGGCTTAATTTAAAAAGGAAAGAAAGATAGAAGGAAAGAAAGATGGAAGAAAGGATCTATTACAGCAGTCATTTCGGTTCATGAGCTGCTTCAATAAAGATAATGGAGCAGAAGGATAGAGCATGTGTCCCTGACACTGTAGAACTTTACCAGCCCTGGATTACACACTTTAAGGCTTCTTGGTGTGAAAGAAATAAATTTGTAATGGAAACCACTTTTATTTTAGGTTCTCCAGTTATATATATAAGCAAAACCTAATCTTAACTAATACATAGAGCTTGACTAAGATGCCTTATTACTGGATTCTGGCAAGAATATATTTCATGTCAATCATATTAAACCTATAAAGTAGGTAGAGTTTAATATTGGTTAATTGTTCCTTATAAATTCCTCACTCCTTTGGAATCTGCTCATTCATTATTTTGTTGACCAAATATTTACAAAGTGCTAGGTCAGGTACTACAGTATGCAAAAGGAACAAGAAGATACAGCTACACACAAAGAGCTATAGTCTCTAGGGTGAGATAACGTGTAAATAAGTGTAACTAGTGCAATATGTAATTTAATAGAAGTGTGTACAGGAAATACATACTGGTTAATGTATATAGGTGGCTGGGCACAGTGAGAGAAGGAGACAGGTGAGATGCATACTAGGAAAGATTCAGTCAAAAGTGATTCTAGGGGTCTGTGGGTGGTTAAATCTGTTGTACATCTGCCTTTGCTCAGGTCATGACCCTAGGACCCACATATGGCTCTCGGCTTAGCGAGGAATCTGCTTCTCCCTCTCCCTCTGCCTGCCCCTCCACCTACTTGTGCACTCACGCCCTCTCTCTCTCTTAAATAAAAATAATATTTTAAAAAAAAGTGATTGTAGAGCATAGCTAAGCATCATCTGCTTGCCTGTCTACAGAGTCATAAGTATTTGCCTTGTATAACGTGGCAATATGGTTCTTGACTTTTGGTGTTCTTTCCCTAAAAATGTTCCAAACACACACAGAAAGAGAACATCCATGTATTCAAGTACTCACTAGTATTTGCTTGAAATCATATGTATTTTTAAGAAACAAACATAGACTTGGTTGAAAGCTCTCTATTGTTCCTCAGCAGAAACCACTATCCTAAGGTTGCTGTATCCTTCTTGTCCATGATTTGATACCATTACCACATATATTCCCTAATGTTATGAACTTTTGTGCACTTAAAATTTTACGTCAATAGTATACTATACATATTTATATTTTTATTTTTACCCCAATATTATTGGTTAATATTCTTATCTGTGAAACTAGTTTAAATGGTATCCCATTGTATGAATACAAATTAAACATTCTCTGATTGATGAGCTTTTATAATTACTCCAATTTATTTTTTTATTACAAAACATCACACATATCTCCTTGTATGGATGTGTGAAATTTTCTCTATAGTATATCCCCAGAAGAGAAAATGCTGAGTCACATGCATTGTATATATATGTATGTATATATATTGTCAACTTTAGATATTGAAAAATTGCTCTCCTAACTAGTTGTAGCAATTTACACACACCACTAGTATAAGATCTCTTAGTTTTCTATATTAAGAGCATTTGCTGTTTTCACACTTTAAATTTTGTCAATATGTTGAATATGAAACAGTACATTGTTAAATTCCCCGAGTTACAAGTGAGATTAAACTTCTTTTATATGTTTATTAGTGATGTTTTTGACTCATAAATCACTTAGCAATATGTTTTAAATTTTCTTTTTTTTTTTGTTTTAAATTTTCATACACATTTTTGAAGTATTTTTTGCTAGTGATTCCTAATTTGGTGGCATTCTCCCAAATACAAAAACAAAAAATGTCTCTAGACATTGCCAAATGTCATCTAAGGCAAAAAAACAAAACAAAACAAAACAAAACAAAACAAAAACCCACAAAAAACCCAAAAAACAAAGCACCCCCAACCTTGAGAACTACCGCTCCAGAAACAAACACTATTTAGCAGTTTGGTGTATAATTTTCTACATTTTTTCTATGATTATAGCACCTATATATTAAATATACATATTATGTATTTATTACAATAATTAAATAATTATACTATATACAGTGTTGTATGCCTTTTAATTAGCAATAATCGCACCTTGGATAAACCTCATTGGCTATGATACTGCCACTGCACAAAGCTTGTAATGCCTTTTAAAATTATCAATATATTATAGCTTTCTATTTTGTACATTTTAACATCTTTTGTATGCTTTTTAAAACTGCTGTAATAGTCCATTAGCATTCAAGTATATATACTTCAAATTTTGAATGTAACCAAACATTGTATAAGTAAGTCCCTTTTGAACTTCTCCCAAGAGGTAATACCTGTCATATATTTAGTTAATATTCCTAAGTATTTTATTATATAATATTTGATATAAACTAAAAACTAATATGTAAAGGAGGGCAATAAAATAAAAATTCCATGAATCCATTTAAGAATTATAAAACTGCCAATAGTGCTGAATTCATGTCACTACATACTTCTGTCCTACTCTACAAGAGGTAACTACTACTGAACTGTGGGATTATCATTCCCACATGATTTATTTTAAAGTTGGTCACATACATAGGTACCTCTAACATGTTATTTTGTTTTGCTATGTTTCAGCTTAAAAATGCTGCAGATAGAATTCTGAAACTTGCTTTCTTCACCCTACAGTGTGGTTTCATCACTCATCCATGCTGTTATATGCTATTGTAACATCAGCACATTACTTTCAATGATAAATATCTGATTAGATGAATATGTCACAATTTATTCATCCATCCTCCAGTACATGGGTTTTCTGCTTACTGGCAATGCAACAATGAACATTCTTATACATATCTACTCTAGCACATGCATACAACTTTCTTTAGGGTGTATATTCAGGAAAAGTATTGGTAAGTCTTTTTTTGATTGATTGTAGGACTTTTAAAAATATTTTGGATAGCAATATTTTATGTTATGTGTGTTATAAATATTTTCTCACTGTTTTAGCATATTTAGCATTTTTACTTTTTTTATATTCTCTTTATGGAGTTCTTTATGGACAGTTCCCAGGCATGTGTGCATACCATTATTTCATGTTTTTATAAATACATATGATGAGGTGCCTGGGTGGCTCAGTTGGTTAGGCATCCCACTCTTGATCTCAGCTTAGGTCTTGATCTCAAGAACAAATTTAAGCCCCTTGTTGGGCTCCACGCCCAGCATGGAGCCTACTTTAAATAAACAAATTAATTAATATTAAAAATATATGAATATTTTAAAAATAGTTTGAGTTTTATATAAATGGTACCATACTGTATATGTCAATATGTGACTTTTTGTTTTAATAACAAGATTTCTTGAGATATAATTCACATACCACAAGGCTCATCATTTTAGTGCATAGTTTTGAAGCTTTTACTATACTGACAAATTGGGCATCATCACCACAAACTCTAGAAAATTTCCATCACCCTAAAAGGAAACCTTATATTCACTAGCAGTCACTTGCCCCTAGCTACAGGCAACCACTAATCTGTGTTCTATCTCTATGGATATGCCTATTCTGGGCATATCATATTAATAGACTCATATTTGCAGCTTTTTGTGTCTGGCGTCTTTCACTTAATGTTTCAAACTTTATCTATGTTCCAACATGTATTAGAACTTTATCCCTTTTATAGCCCAATACTAACCTATTATATGTATATACTACATTTTGTTTATCCTTTTTAAGTAAAAAAAAAAAGAAAAAGAAAAAGAAAAAAGTGAATCAAGAATAAAAGTGAGAAACCAGATATTATTATAAAAATACTAGGTAGATCATAACAAATTAGAAGCTCAATGGTGAAGTAGCAGATGGCTGCAAAGACACAGTTAACTACAGAAACAATGTCTCAACTCAAGTTAAAACACTAGACAATAACAAGCATTTAAGTTTGGAAGAGGCTTATTAGACTTAAAGTATCATAAAAGCATTGTATGTTCAAAAGAACCGTGAAGATTTTGATTAACTTGCCACTGGGTTAAATATGCATGTTAAAATTTTAAGGTAATCACTAAAAAAATAGCAAAAGAAGGCATAATTTTTAAGTAAGTTAGGGGAAAAGAAGTAAAATTCAAACCCACCAACCAGATAGTCAAACATAATCAAACCAAAGAATACAACAAAGAGGGAGGGAGAGGGATCCCTGGGTGGCGCAGCAGTTTGGCGCCTGCCTTTGGCCCAGGGCGCATCCTGGAGACCCGGGATCGAATCCCACGTCAGGCTCCCGGTGCATGGAGCCTGCTTCTCCCTCTGCCTATGTCTCTGCCTCTCTCTCTCTCTCTCTCTCTCTCTCTCTCTCTCTCTCTGTATGATTATCATAAATAAAAAAAAATTTTAAAAAAAGAGGGAGGGAGAAGTGGCAGTAAGAAGCACAAAAAATTTATTTTAATAAAATGGTAGAAATAAATCAAAATGCATTATAATTAAAATTAATTATAAAGTATATGGAGCAATGGGAACTCTTACTTAAGACTAGTGGGAATGAAAACGTGTAAAACTACTTTAGAAAACAATTCACCAATCCAACAATTATTTTCTGAGCAGATACTAATGAGCCATGCGTTTTTTTAGGAACTGGAGAAAAAGAAATGAAAATTTTGGCAATACCTCAAGTACCACTGAAGGTAAACAAACACCGACTTCATAATGTTTTAGTAAATCAATTCCTAAAAAAACATGTAATGAGGGGTGCCTGGTAGCTCAGTCAGTTAAGCATCCGACTCTTGATTTTGGCTCAGGTCGTAATCTCTGGGTTGGGAGATCGAGCCCTGCGTTGGGCTCTGTGCTGGGCATGGAGCCTGCTTAAGATTCTCTCTCCCACTCTTCTGCCTCTCTTTCTTCTTCTCTCTTTCTCAAAAAACAAAAGCATATAAATGATAAACTTGAAATTTAGAGGAGAGGAGTATATGATCAAGAAGAAACACACAGGCAATATCACAAATTCTGATTCTTAGCTGGGTGTTGGGTACAGGTGTGTTTATTGTTCTTTAAACTGTATATGTACAATATAATCATTCTGCGTTTGACTGATATTTTCATACAAAGAAATAAAAACAATTTTACAAAAGCAATGCAAACAAAACACCTATCACAGAAGGTACAAGATGTCATTATTATCATACTAAGTAATAATAAAATTACAAAATGCAATCAGCTACAATGGAAATGGATCTAGAGCCAAACTTTAAAGATTTATTCTAGATGAGTACAGCATGTCAGTGAGGTAAGCTCATAAATTTAAATGGGAAACAATTTATTTTTGTCAAAAAACAGGTTCCAAACATTTCTTGAATAAATAATGTCATCTTTTAACCTTAAACAAAATGCAAATTTTTTAATTGGACAAATAAATGCCTTAGCTCTTTCTAATGTCTGAATGATGAATTTTTAAAATGTTACTTCTTTACAATATTCGTCACATACTGCCCAATCTAATACAAAGAACATCTCATTAACTGTAATCAGACACTGGGTATGCCATCGCTCACTACAGCTTTCTTCAAATGTTACAGAAATGGCAAGAGGTAAAGTAAATATCAGCGAAATGGCATCTGTATTCCAAAGCATCCTTCTCAGGTACAAAAATACGGATAGCATAGAAGCACAATAATTCTTGGTTTTTAAGCCAACTAATAAACTTATACCTATTTGCTGTATTTACCATGCCTACTTATAAGTTTAACATTAGGATTAATGAGACCCATAGTACTCATAAAAATGCTTTAAAAAATACAGCACTGAAAATAACTATGGTGAAATTATTTTAAAATATCTGTATATTAAATCATCCTCAGAGTATTTGTAGAAAGAGGCAATCCATTTTTCAGACAAGGAATTAAGTAGTTCAGTGTTAGAAATAACTTTTCAGTATATCCTGATACAAAATTGTCTACATAGGCTAGTAAAACGGGATTTCCTGAAGACAATGCCATATATACATATATATTGACAGGTAATTTCCTTCAGTAAATTTTAACTTCTCTGTGTTTCTTAAAAATTGGTACCAAGTAGGCTAATTATTTAATAACCACATGATCAGTCAACACCTTTACCTTGTGAAATCTTATTATAACACAAATTTCCTAGATGCTACATGTAATATATTTATAGAAGATAAAAGAAAAAGCGAATTTTATTTCATTCCAAATATTTGATCACATTGGCCTTCTGTTACTGAATAGTAAAGTATGTTAAAAATATAATAGATAAGAAAATTGAATCTGTTTACCAAGTAGCAACTGAAATAGAAATATTTCAAATGGAATGATACAAATATTACTACATTATTATGTAACCAAACAAAAAAGGAAGAGTAGCTTAACAAGTATCTGGGTAGAGAGGAGCTAATTCGGATTTTGGAAAAAAATTCTTATTAAGATACCATTTCAAGCTCTGAAAACAAAGAATGCTCTACTAAATAAAGTCCCTAAATATACTCTGACTAAAAGCAAGAAGATGAATTGAATTAACACAGAATGTAGGTTGCCTTTGTTGTAAAACTACCATTTTATTTTTCCAGAAAAATAATTTATTTAGGCTAAAAGGAGGACCAAAACCTGGAAATTCTGAGTCAACAAACAATTCAAATTTCTCAGAATCAATACAAATGTAGATGATTTTCATATCTCTAAGACAATTAATTAGTTTTTTTAAAAAATCACATGCTAGGAAAATTTAAACCAAATAAAGGAACAAAGGCTGTCAAGTGAAGTCATTAGCTGGATAACTTTCTTCTTACCCGGAGAAATAGTATTACATCTTGGATGTTTAGAAATGCATATTAAAGCAACACCATTAAAAAACAATAACTTATTTTGTAGAAATTCATAGACATTTTTAAACCTCAAATACCCTTTTTTTTTAAATGTTAATATTAACTAATTCTAAACCTTGGCACCATCCTGAACTTACATTTTAGCCACCAATAAAAAAAGAGTACAAGTTAGCAAAAGACATTCAGGATTTTGAAAACCTAAAAGGAGATATCTTAAGTATCTAATTAACTGGAAAGTTTAATGAGCTCAAGTCAAGTGTTTAAACAGTGGTAGGTATACTGGATATTGTTGTGAAGAAACTTTATCTTGTCAAAACAAAATATAAAAAAGATAGTATAGTACCACAAAGTGATGTTAAGTGCTACAGATGTGCAAAATAAGGCAGTATTGGCCCAAATGATAATAGTTAGCAAAATCTGGACACAGGAATTGCAACTGAATTAGGATATGAATACTGGGTAAGATTCAGGTTGACTCTGGAAAGAGTATATTGTGTAGGATTGCAAAGGTACAAATATGGGAATAAATGCAATGTGTTATTTATTGTAGCTGTGCATTTTCAACTCTCTCTAAAATGTAAAAGAGATTATCCATAAAAACTGACAGGAAAGTAGAAACTATGGACCTGCATATTTCTGTGGTGAGCTCCCAGGTCGCCTGATAGGAAAAGCTCTAAAACACTTTTCTACTTGGTCATAATTCATTCCGTTTCCTTTAATTTTACATTGTATAACATCACATTTGTCTTTTTTTTTTTTTTTTACATCACATTTGTCTTATTCCTACATAGGAGGAAACTGATTAATTTGGTGTCAATTTAGGCTACAAAAAGTTTTATTTCTATTTTGTACGAATGAGTTGGCTGCTCAACTCAAACATAAATAACTAAAACCCAAACTGCCATTCATTTAATTGCAAAGAAGTAACTCCTCAAGAAAGTAATGGCTTCAGTCTTTCCTTTATCCTCTCAAAGAATGAGAACACTTCCTTACTGTTGTTTGATGGAAGAAAAATGGAAACTTAAAGTATTTACCATTTCCAGTTTCTCTGCCTTAAGGCGAACAGAGGGATTTAGGGAAATCTTCTTTCCTTGTGGTCCATAATTATCAGTCCATGCAGGGGCAATATCTAAGAGACAACAGGGTGCATGTTAATTGGAAATTTAATTGGAACAGAACTTTTCATTTGACAGGATGTGTTCTGGGCTCCTGCTGTTTAAAAATATTTCTGGCTAATCAGTTGGCAGATTTCACTTTTGTTTTCATGATTTTTTTTTTCTTTAAATCTAAAATGTATCATATAAATTAGCATCACTTGAGCACTAAAAGATATAAAATATAAAAAGAATGTCCAATTACGCATTAAATCCCACGGAAATATTAATTTAAAAAGACAAACATACATCTTACCACTACCCCATCATTACAATGCCTTACTAATTGTAAAGTGAAGTCTTTTTTCTTCTGAAATAAGTAAAATCATATTAGGAATTCAAAAAATTTCACTGGAAAAAGTGGTTTTGTTACATGAGTTCTAAAGGTACAATGGAAAAACTCATAACTGCAAACTGTTTCAAGTTTGTGCATAAAGTATGATACACACTAGGAACTTCTGGAACCCAAAATCCTATTTCTTACTTTTACATTAATGTTATGCTTCAAGGAGCATAGATGGACTTCCAAGAGTTGAGTTTCCTATACCTCTCACTTAATCCTAACACCTTCTCAACCTATACTGATTAGTTAGATGAGCCTTTGTCCTTGTTACATGAATAAGAGAACAGATGCCAACAAGGGATTAGACCTTGAAAAATTATTTGCTTTAATATGCTGGAGTTTGTAAAACAAATTCCTGTAACTCATGTCAATCCTTGTATCTAAATTATCACTATTCTAAATACACTTCTAAATGATATTTTACTAGTTCTACATAGAAACAAGAGGAAGAGAAAAAACTTTTTGAAATGTCACATCTTTATGCAGTGTTTTAATTTTTTTTTAATTTCTCAGAGCATCTGTCTCTAAGTACAAAATGATTTGCATTCTCTTTCTTAAGAACATAAGAAGCGCATATGAAAATAAATAGTCTTCCTCTAAACCTTTAACACATCCTTAACATTCTATGTAAAATCTTGAATATAGCTTATAGGTGTCAAGATCATAAAAAAAAAATGGTTACTGACTTTTAGCTTCAAATGGAGTCAAACCTTGAGAAAGAGTGATTTTAGTATAATAGAATTTTTACAGTTCTTTTTTTTGAATTTTTACAGTTCTGATAAAAGCAGCAAAGTCTCTTTTGTTATCATGATACCTAATTGTTAGCCATGAGGCAAAAAATAGTGTGTAGATATATATATATATATATATATATATAAATTTTTTTTCCTCTTAAGAAAAATTCTGTGCCAAACCTACAGTGTGACACAAAAGATCAGCATGGAGTAGAGTGGTATAGAAGACCAAAGAACAGAGAAGTCAAACTTTATTTTTCATCTTTAATGTTTGGATCTGTGAGGGCTGACCATGACCTTCAGCTTGGTGCCTGACCTGCAATTAAGGAACACATACTAGGTGGACCCAAGCTAGCCTAATTATGATTTCAGACCAATAATCCTAACCCTGGGAGTGAATTACTCAATTCAATTTTAAGTATGTGGAAGGACTGGGGGGTGGGAGGGAAAGGGGGAAACACACGGCATCCACTCATACTGAGGCATACATTCTCACTTATATATATTCCTACACCTAAGCATAAAAATTTGCTATGGTAGCAGTGGAAATAACAGCAGATCAGCTCTTAGCTATGCTTACTTTTAGCCAGGCAGGGCACTAAGTACTTCATATAGATAAACTCATTAAGCTTTACTATAGCCATAATAACTTAAGTGTTATTATTCCCATCCCAAAGATGAAGAGATCAAGGCCCCAGAAGGTAAAGAAACCGGTCTATGATCACACAGCTAGTAGGTGACCATGTCAGGGTCCTAGTCTGTTGTGATTCCCAAAGCCATTATTTTTTAAATGTTGTCCGTATCTTTCACCATGTTTTCTCATCTGTAGAATAAAATAGTGCATCTTACAGGTACTGTAAAGGTAAAATAAGGAATCACAGAAAACTACTATAAACACTATAGAATATTGTTTGTTTTTAAGTAGGCTCCATGCCCAGTGTGGAGACCAACATGGGGCTTGAACACACGGCCCTGAGATGGAGACTTGAGCTGAGATGATGAGCCACATGATTAACTGACTGAGCCACCCAGGCACCCGTTGAATATTGTTAATATTAACAAAGAGAGATATTTAAACAGGGGATTTCATGTAAAATTACACTAACCTCCCATTTAACAACATGCAATCATGGCTTAACAAAATCTCACTTTCTTTCAGTCAACCCTCCCCTAAACCTATACCTTTTAGCCAAACCTTAGGAGGATTTGTGCATAAATCTGGCATGCTTTGGTGATTCAGAGTAGCTTGACCTGAAAAGCTGCTCATAGACAGACAGCTTTCCCCATTTGCCAGTGACACCTCTCAACACTGGCCTCAAGCTCTTGATTTGTTCCTCTCTGGGGGAGTGAGGATTTTCAAAAGATAGCTTATTATTCTCTTGGATCTTCTCTTCTAGTCTTCTTTTTAGGAGAAGAAAGGGAATGTTTTAAGAGGACAGGATCAAAACCATTTGGTTTATACGGTGAACCCTTCATGGATATTTTCCCCCCATCACTATTTTGTTTCAGTTATAAAACCTTAGTGTGGGAGGATTACAGTTCACGTTCTGGTAAAGTTAAAGTAATGATAATATTTCTTCATGCAATAATTCTTTACCAATTTTTTTAGGAATGTCTTTAGTATGCTTTTAGCTCACTTATAAACTCATGCATTAGTCAGCTTATAGCAATAGTAAACAACTCCGAGTTCTGAATCAGAAATTTATATAATAGAATAGATTAAAAACATATTCAAGTATTATGTAGATTTCAAAATTCTAACCACTTTTATACTTTGGAATAATTCTGAGATGGGAACAGGGGTAAGATTTCCCTTAATTCAGCTTATTTCTGTTGAGGTTAACATTAAAATTTGTTTACATTTTTTGAATAAATGCCAACTGGCTAAGGGGGTTTAGATGTGACAGTTAGGGGTCTAATTTGGGAACAATCTATAATTAAGTGCTTATCACAATGTATATAAGTTACCTAGAGATAATTTAGAGTTGATTTTTTTTTTCCCTCAGAAACATCTGGCCTACCACATTTATGTAAAAATTTAAAAAATAGGACTAACTCAATGCTAATTTTACCCTAGAAAAATGTTGTTTTAATTGCATTTTAATATTTACTTTTCACACAGCTCACTCAAATATATTTTTCAGTAAATTATTTTCCTATTACAAAGTATAGCACTGTTTCTTTTAGTCACTGATGTAGAATTTACATTTTATCCATTACTCTGGGATCTCTTTGCTCTAATCAGATCTGCCTCCTACAGTCACCTGACATCTAGCTCATCCTTTGTTCTGTACTTTAGCTCATGGTGCTTCCTTCACTTAGGAAGATCTCTTTCATCCAACCATTGACGTTTACCACTTCTTTCAAGATCTGATGTTTGATTTTTGCTAAGAAATTTCTGCATGTTGTGACAAATTCTTTCCTATGTATTAGTTTGGGGGACGAGGGGAGGATGAAAAATTGAATTAAAAGATGGGAGCTTTGGTTTCTGCTCTAAAAACAGCCTCTAGGGCTGCCCGGTTGGCTCAGCGGGTTAATGCTGCCTTCAGCCCAGGGCGTGATCCTGGAGACCTGGGATCGAGTCCCATGTCAGGCTCCCTGCATGGAAGCCTGCTTCTCCCTCTGCCTGTGTCTCTGCCTCTCTTTCTCTCTCTCTCCCTCTTTCTCTCTCTCTCTCTGTATCTCTCATGAACAAATAAATAAAATCTTTAAAAAAAGAAAAACAAAAACAAACAGCCTCTGGAATATCATCTGAGCTACACTCCAGTCAGTGGGTTCTGTGATATTAACAATAATAACAGCAAAATTTACTGAGCATATGCTATGTACCCATTACGATGCTAAGTGCTTCATATGCATGATCTCACTTAATACTCATAAAGATCCATGAGACAACTATTTCAAGGTTACACAGCTAATAAGCTAGGAGCAGAGAAATGAACTTCTACATTTGCATTCAGAGCCTGTGCCTTCCCTACACCACACATGGGCCACTTCTTTCCTTATCCACTTTGTTCACATCTTCACACTGTGACAAGATAGTATATTCCTTCGAGTACAGAAACCACCCACACCCTGCTCTAGCTAACAGAGAACACTGCAAATGGTAGTTATTCAATAAAATAAACACATACATATATGCTTTCTAATCTGAATAATGAAGTTTTTTTTAACCCCATGCTTCATTTCACCATAGACTATTAAGTATCTCATGGAAAATATCCTAATTCCTTCATAATTCCCATTGAACTATGTTTTCTTTGTCCATGACAAGACTCAGTAAAAGCTTACTAAATCAATAAAAGACTAAGAGAAGCAATGAGCAGTTAAATTACTTTCAAAATTAAAAACATGTTACATAAATGTATCCTCACCATTGTTTGCGTCTTTATCTTTTTTTCTCACATGTGTTCATAGTTTAAAATAAAAACAATACATCAAGAGAATGGAAATTACGTAAAGGAGATATACCAATAAAGTTTCTAAGAGTCAAAGAATCCCACTAAGTAAAAGGGCATGTAATTTGTGCTAGAGCTTGCTAACAACCCTCTGGTAAATAATGCTCCAAATCAGAGGAAACTACTCTGGAATCCACTATAAATTCCTGTTAAGTGTACTGCCTATGTGGTGTGTCCTGAATGTTTGTATCCTCCTCAAATGCATATGTCAAAATCCTAACCCCTAATGGTGATGGTATTAGGAGATGGGGCCTCTGCAAGAGGCTTAGGTCATGAGGGTGGAGCTCTCAGTAATGTTCTGACAAAAGTGTTCTGATAAAAGAGACCCTACAGGTCCCTATGTCAGGACATGATGGGAAGTCTGCAACCTGAAGAAGGCTCTCACTGGGACCATGCCAGCAGCATGATCCTGGATTTCCGGTCTCCAGAACTGTGAGAAATACATGTCTGTTGTTTATAAGCTAGTCTGTGATATTTTGTTACAGCAGCCCAAATGGACTAAGATACTATGTAACTCATGCTAATTTGTCTTTATTTTGCAATTCTGATAGAGATTAATGCTATTAAAAATTAAAATATACAGGTAACACCTTGCATTATAATTTTTAGACATGTAATTAACTTTTCCTTTCTATATGCACTGGTTTTTTTTATTATTGTTGTATTTAATTTCTGGACATGATTTAAAGGGAAGGCTTTTTTTTTGATGTTTGAGCCACTAACAGATACTTTGCTGTTTGATAAAAATTTTTTTATGGGTGGCTTAATTAATACTTTATTGTTTTAAAAAGTCAGTAAATCATTTCATGGTGATGATAACTAAGAATATTCAACTCATAATACTGATGTTCTTTTTTAATTTATATCTATACAATCTCTTAAAAAAACCCAAATATTTCTTTTCTTAAGCTATGCTCCCATCTATAATTTCTCTGTAAGGTGCATTTAACAAACCTCACCAGTATTTCACTAAAAGGACAAGGCAACCTAATCTTGATTTAAAGAAGAGCTTACATGATTTGATTTCCACAGTTCATTGATTATTACAGCTTCATAGACACCATTATGATAATGTATCTTAAAATTTCAACTCTTTGTTCAGAAAACTTTCTAATAAAAGACATAATCTAATAGGGACCATTGAACAATACATTCATTTTGCTCTTTTATTCATTGAAGGAAAAAAGGCATAATGCACCCTTCTTTAAAGTCTATTAAGTCACATTATGTACTCCTCATTGAGAAAGGGTAATTGAAAGAAATAACAGTAAAAGAGGAATTAAATGTGCATTTACCTGTATTAGACATATCCGCAGGGCTGTTTTCTGAAGAAGTAATTGGAGTCTGTTCTGTTTTCTTGTATCCAGTTTTTATCTATGAAAGAAAAGGAAGAACATGAAATGTCATTTTCCAAAGTAGGTCAAAGACCAGACTAGAAGCTCACGTTAACATAAAAAGAATGGTTTAAGAGATTAAAGCAGCGGTCCAAAAAATACGAGATCTCTAAAATTTTGGTATATTTATCTCCAAACAAAACATTTCAGAAATAAAGGTAACAATGCTTTCAGCTCTACCATGTCCAAGAACAGCAAAATATAAGGCCACGTATCTTATCTTTGAAAAGTTATTATAACCCCAAATAAAAAAGTATAAGGGGCTGACAAAATCTTACACTCTGTATCTTATTAGCAGATACCTGAAACTGAAATTACCATTGATAAATTTTATTCCATTAACTAAAAGCCAACCTGAGTTTCCTACTTTGCTTTAGTGCTAACATAATATTTTAAGAGTATATGGTCTATTTTATCTTTGATTAGTTAAGGCATTGTAGCAATTAGTAATCAACTGTCAATTTCGATGTAGAAACTCCCCCTTCTGTGTGATTGTACTGGGGTGAACTAGGTATTAGCATGCACACATAAGGGAACCATATCCACCTACACTGAGTAATTAGGATTAGCTTCACTGTGCAGGAAAAGAGGTAAGAAACAAAAGGAAGACTGCCTGTCTTCAGTCAAGCAGAAAACAGAAATAATAATAAATTAAACCATATTAGAGACTTTCTGAAAATAAATATGACATTCTTAACATAGTTTTGAGTGACACCTAGGCATATCTTTGTGAGGCCATTCCTCATCCTGTCTTTCTGAACAAAAGACACACTGACTTGAAAAATTATACTACTGACAGCACAATAGAAAAGTCTTAAACAGAAAAAAAAGAACTTTCAAGAAAATACCAATTGTTTTTAAATATATTATCAAAACTATAATTCTAAATGTATATTACAAACATAAAAACATATGGGGGATTTCTGGACTGCAAAAATATACAGAGAAATGTTAAGATTACCTGACTAATGTTAAAAGAAGATAAAGTGGTATCTGTAGTTTGGGGAGTAGATGAGGTCTTTGGAATTAGTATTTCAGGGGGAGAAGGAAGAAGGCTAAATGTCGAGGCTTGAGGTCCATATTCTCTGGAAGCTTGTAAAAGGGATGTACAAGATGGATTTTCTAGATGACTGCCATCAGATTTTTGTCTTATGAATGCTATCTCCCAAGCAGATTCTGACCTAGCATTAAAAAGAAATAATTTTATGGATATATTATAGATACAATACAACTGAGTTTTAAGATAATGTATCAAGGATTATTAAAATTTATTTATTTTAAGAGGTACCTGAGTAGCTCAGCTAGTTAAGTATCCGACTCTTGATTTCAGCTCAGGTCATGATCTCAGGGTTGTAAGATCGAGCCCCACATTGCGCTCTTCCACTCAATGGGGTGTCTGCTTGGGACTCTCTCTCCCCCTCTGCCTCCCCCTACCCCAACTCATGCATATGCTCTCTAAAAATAATAAATGAATAAGTAAATTTTAAAAATACATACTTATTTTAGGGTCTAAAGTATTTAAATCTCTTAAGTTACTATTTTTGAGGAAACATGCTAACTCAATCTATCTTATGGATAGGATAGTTACCTCAACTTGGCTCTTGTAATTATGCTTTTTGCTTCTTCAAAGGATACACCAATCATAGATTCCTTGTTTATTGAGACAAGTTGATCTCCTGGCTTCAAACGTCCATCCTAACAAAAGTAGTAATACACATAAAGAAACTGTTTTAAAAGAAACAACTAATTGATGCAATTAAACCAAAGAAAAAAGTTAGTGAACAGTCTCTTAAAGAAAGAGTAAGAAGGGGACGCCTGGGTGGCTCAGCGGTTGAGTGTCTGTTTTCAGTTCAGGGTGTGATCCCGGAGTTCCAGGATTGAGTCCCACATCGGGCTCCTCTGGGGAGCCTGCTTCTCCCTCTGCCTGTGTCTCTGCCTCCCTCTATATATCTCTCATGAATAAATAAATAAAATGTTAAAAAAAAAAAGAGTAAGAAGAAAACCTTGGACAAAGAACTTAGATAGCAAAAAGTTTTAACTAAGGCCTGGTTTGCTTACATACATGAATGGAATGGGACAGTCTCATGTACATGTGAGCTAAATTTGCACACGAAAAATCCTGAAAACGTACTTGAAGACGTAGCCCGGTACATCAGGAAAAGACTTGTTTTAAAAGCTTGGTACTGGGCAGCCCAGGTGGCTCAGTGGTTTAGTGCTGCCTTTAGCCCATGGCCTGATCTGGAGACCCGGGATCCAGTCCCACATCAGGTTTCCTTCATGGAGCCTGCTTCTCCCTCTGCCTGTGTCTTTGCCGCCGCCACCCTCCCCCCATGAAAAAAATAAATAAAATCTTAAAAAGAAAAAAAATAAAAGCTTGGTACTATGAGATAGATACAGCTCTGACTCTGTGATAAAGTCAGTCAAATAATGCTAGCCTATTTCAGAATACAAGACTTACTTACTCACTTTAGTTTCTGAGCATTCCTGAATCTCTCATCCCACCAAATTGGTAACGTTAACTCCACTGTAAGACTTAAAATTAGTCAAGGATCCTAATTAGATTGATCCTACCCATATTTCAGCTGTTTACTGGATCTGCTGTACCTCCAGTGACTCAGGCCTAGCTGGTTATACATACAGCTTTAGTCATCTCCTATTAATGATGACCACTTATAACCAGCTGCCTTACATTGTCTGCTAAGATCCAGCTCTGGCTGTAACTAGCCTAAGTGGGTAAGACAGTCTATTAATTACAAGATTTAATGGATTTGGGGGATCCCTTGGTGGCTCAGCGGTTTAGTGCCTGCCTTTGGCCCAGAGCGCGATCCTGGAGTCCCAGGATTGAGTCCCACGTGGGGCTCCTGGCATGGAGCCTGCTTCTCCCTCCTTCTGTGTCTCTGCCCCTCTCTCTATATCATGAATAAATAAATAAATCTTAAAAAAAAAGATTTAATGGATTTGTTTGATAAGTTTCTCAGTCTTCACCTTTTTTTTCTTAATTCAAAGTGGAAAAAGAATGAGCTCTCTTCATTTTCAGTTCCTAAGAGAATGTCTCAATTATCATTTATATACACAAAGACAGAAAGCACTATTTCTATAACTGGGGAAAAAGCTTATATGGTTAAAAAGCTAGATTTTCACCCTACTGGCATTTAAGGAAGTTCCACAAATTCAAGGAAGTATCTTTCTTCAAAGCCATATTTAAGATATATCCCTTGGGTAATTGATTTTTGATCTGTACATCCATATACATAATAATGATGATTTCATTACTTTGCTGCTAAATGACAATAGTAATTTTTAAAGATTACTTATTAGAGCGTGAGCATGGCGAGGAGAGCAGATGGGAAGGGAGGAGGAGGGAGAGGGAAAGAATCTCAAGCCGCCTCCCCACTGAGCGGGAGCCTAAAGGGCTGGATCCCATGAACTTGAGATCATGACTTACATGGAAACCAAGAGTCAGAAGCTTAACTGATTATACCACCCAGGTGCCCCCTAAATGTCTTTTTTAAAAAACAAAAATAATTTTGAGAGATGCTTGGGTGGCACAGTCAGTTAAGTGTCCCACTCTGGTTTTGGCTCAGGTTGTGATCTCAGAGCCATCAGATTGAGACCTGTGTTTGGGTCCACACTCAATGTGGAATCTGCTTAAGATTCCCTCTCCCTTTGCTCCTCTCCCTGTTCATTCTTTCTCTCTAACAAATAAATAAACCTTAAATAAATAAATAAAGACATTCAGTGCTGTTGTTGTGCCCAAGATTGCGAATCCGAGAAACCACCAAGGAGCTGACATCAATGCAAGCGCACGAGGGTTTATTAGCAAGCTCGAGCTTGGGTCCAAGTATACCTGACACAGTGGAGCAGGGACTTGGACCCCGAAGTGGGTTACAGCTGGGTTTTTTATAGGCTGGTCTAGGGGATTTTCAGAAGGGATGGAGGAATTTCTCAGTTCTGTTTACATTCTGATATGGGGCTTTCAAGGGCATTGAGCTCTGTTCTCATTCTAATATGGGACTTTCTACCATGGGCATGGGCTCTGTTGTCTTTCTGATATGGGATTCTCTGCTGAGGGCAATTCTGAGCTCTGTTGTCTTTCTGATATGGGATTCCCTGCCGTGGACATTGAGGAATTCTGTAGTTCCCCCCCCCCCCCCGTAAAGTTCAGCTCTTATTCACAGGGGCCTAAGATGGCTGTACTTGTGCTAATGCTAAACTTTAGGTGGGATGGCCTTAATTTTTCTCGGCCTCCACACTATCTCTAACACTGAATACAGGAAGATAAATAAATATAAAATATTTATCAAAAAATTTTATAGAAACATGTTATTTCAAATAGTATATAAAAGATATATCATCTAAATGCATCATGACTTTATGACCCTTCTATATTAAAAACATTATTTAAAAAATTAAACTGAAAAAGGGAATTTGATTTTAAAATATTTGGAAATTTATATTTTATAAATATAACTAGCAAAGTCAGAGAACACAACCCGATTGCTATATTCACAAATGATTTCTCCCCCCCTTCCACTGATAAACGTATAAGGAGTAAAACACAATAGTAATTCTGGAAAAAACTTGGCAGTATGGAGGGAGTATCCATCATATGGATCCTACATATTCAGTAAAATGAAAATGCTGATTTTGTTAAGATTTTACAAACACAGCTCTATATTGCCTGGGCCCAAACTTTATTACAGAGTTTGGTTACATATGCATTTAAATCAACTCTACCGGGATCCCTGGGTGGCGCAGCGGTTTGGCGCCTGCCTTTGGCCCAGGGCGCGATCCCGGAGACCCGGGATCGAATCCCACGTCAGGCTCCCGGTGCATGGAGCCTGCTTCTCCCTCTGCCTGTGTCTCTGCCTCTCTCTCTCTCTCTGTGACTGTCATAAATAAAAAAATAAAAAAAAAAATTATAAATCAACTCTACCCAGACATACTTAGTCACTCATGTACATTGGCTTGTAATTTGATACACAAAATTTTAGTTTCAGCAGTTATTTATTCAAGGTTAAGATGATATGGCAACAAACAAGAGAAACAACCTTTTTGCCACAGGCAATAAGATAAGGCTAATAATGGAGAAAAATGAACAAAATCCTAGAGTGCTTATTTCCAAGAGGAAGGGTGGGGAGTGTGGGGAATGTGATGAGGAATGCCTCTGTAGCTTGTAAAATTTTCTACTTCTTAAGTGGTGAACTCTAAGCAGATTCATAGGTATTCATTCTATTATTATGCTTCATTTACATGTGTCAAATATCACATAAAAAAGAAACGAGGGGTGCCTGACTGGCTCAGTTCAGTAGAGCATACAATTCTTGATCTTATGGTCATGAGTTCAAGCCCCACACTGGGCATGGAGCCTACTTAAAAAAATTTAAAAGATAAAATACAAAAGAAATTTTCCATTTCCCAAAATAAACAGAGCTTATAACATCTGGCCCAACAATGTGTCTAACTAGCTGAATTATATTTTGGTTCCATATTCCAAAACTGGTATTGGAAATAAGTGTCAAATAGAGAAATTTTTAATATAATTTTAAAAGAAATAAAATTAAATAAATATCCTTATTAAATCTAGCTCTGACCATTTGGAACCTAATAAATAATTCCTTATTAGAATCACCTTTACTAAAGTAAAGCTGAAATTTAATGGCTATACTATTATTCACTTGTATCACAAAGCCTAGCAACAATTTAGGGGAAAAAAATGGAGAAAATGAAGAAAGCACCGTTTCACTAGAGCAAAGCATATAAAGGACACTGACAAGGAAAGAAAGGATTTTTTAGAATCGAGTGTCGGATAGTAAATAATAGTAAATATTGTCAATTTTTTTTCGTTTGGGCAGGAGCCTTCTGAGGCAGTGGACAGAAGTAGAAAGATCACGAGGTTTGGCAGCTAGACAGACCTGAATACAAATTTGAGCTCTACACTTGCTAGCCAGGTGTTCATAAACAATTAGAGAGAAAGGGGCTGGGGGAGGCACACAATCTCATCCACAAGAAATACAGAACTAAATTTAAAATTATTTGAGGTAGCTCCTGTGTCTATATATCTTATACAGACCACAGCCAGCTGTCAGGGTTCCAGAAAAAAAGGCTGCAGAAAACAGAGGTAGGCAGTAGGGTTTCAGCTGATCTACTATCTCCCACATTCTCCTCTGAGACTGTACAGTATTAGCAGCACAGCGGAAAAAGTTCTCATGAACGCAATATAATGTATCTAATATTAAAGTACACCAGTGTACTGAAGTGGCATTTTCCAGCAGGACAAGAGTCAGAGAAGAGAGGAAGAATAAGGCTTCTGGTATTTATATGTATTTTTTTCTTTCTAAAAAGTATTTAACATCGTAGGTTTTTTTCCTTTGCCTCCTAGAACAAGATCTTAGCTGATCATGTGAATTTCTGAACCTGTTTAAAAGTCAGAACCTGCAAACTCAAACAAAGCTATTTCTGTAAGAGTCTGGCATTCAAACCAGTGAATCCTGCCCTAGTTGGATAAATGCATATGTGAAGATACTAACTTCGGGGACATGCTGAAGCCTCTTCCACACTGTCTGGGTTCTGATTCAGCAGTTACTGAGTGAATGTACAACACGACAGGCAAGATGTCAAGCACTTTCATAGTCTGTGTTCTTTCATATCGACATTTACAAAAGTGTTGAAAGTACTCCTGACCATTTAAACGG